GATACTCGTTCATGAACTGCCCGAAGCAGAGTACACGGGGCTGTCTTCGATTTTGGCGAGGACCCAGCCAAGCCAGTGCTCGCACAGCCATGAACTCGGTGTCTCGATATGGAGAGGGTCACACCGATGAGCGCTTCGGTCTCATGAGTCCATCCCCCGACGGTGGCAATGCGGGACCAGTGGGTGGACAGACCATCGGACAGGAATACTTCTCCCACGCAACATCGTAGAGTTGGATGACGGTAGCAGCAACGACCATAGACAGGTGCGCAAGATGAAATACGTCACACCTAGCTACCGTCTCTGTGGGCGTGGTAAATAGTAGATATCAGAGAACCAGGAAGCAAACACACGCCGACATGTGCCGGGGTAGGATGCTGGTAACCAGCCAGTCTTGGCGATGGGTTCGGCGATTAGCAGTTAGAACAGCATCCTGTTCTTCCGGGGCCCTAATGGTGCCTCTTCGTGTTGCATACTTGGCGAACTGGCATCTCAACATATGTCCTGTTGCGCAAGTGACGTTGCCTCTACCGCCACATCGATTGCCGTGTCTCTTCCGAGGTGGTCAATTCCAGAAGTGTATTTGAACCTATACGCCAACACCCAGCAAGCCATTGGGTTATCGCCGATCGTTGATGCACTCCAACCCTCTGAACTCTTGCCAAATGCTACCAATAATCCTTGGTGTTGCACAGCGGGCAGCCCAAAGTGTAGCGGACAACCCAAAACGTCTGGGAAAAGACGTATGCTCCCAGCGCGTTGCGTCTGTCGCCACATTCGTTGCAGCAGATGGCCACTTTGCCAGACGTGCGTTTGGCAAAGCCCTCCGTTGCCCAACTAGCGTAGGGAAACGAACGTCAACAACCAGCGAGCCTTGCGGATGTCTTCGACCGCCGGTACTCCAACCCTCTGAATTCTTACCAGCTGCCACCGATGAGCCCTGATATTCAGCAGGAGGCAACCCGAACAGGCCGATGGGACGGCGCAAGCTCTGCAGGTTATTAGTTTTCCTGCTGCCCGTAGACGCGAATGTCAACCAGGTCTGCCTAGTGATACTCCTCAGCTTCTTCCGCGAAGCGCAGACTCTCCACAGTTGAGCAAGTGACACTCACGGCGAGATAGAAGATGAGTCCTGGGTACAACCCGCAAAGCTTTACAAGCTGCAGAATATGTCCTCGCCGACAAAGACAAAGTATTGCGGCGCAGGATGCGGCACAAGAGTGTCTACCTCCAACCGCAACATCGCCGAATCGTCAACCGGCGCAGGATGTGCATAATATCGGAGAGTAGAAGGGGCCCGGCAATCGGATGCGAATTGCCAGCTGATATACCAGCTGTGCGGGCAGTTCTAAGTGACCTCAGCCCCAGCAGCCAATACCCCGACGCCGAATGTTTGGCAAGCAAAGAACACTGATGTCGCAGGCCATGACATACTTGGAATTAGGATGTCCCGATCATGGTCTGCTTCGTAGTAGTGGCAGCGAATGTCCGCAGACTTGTGAACACGGCGACCGCCATAACAAAGCCTGAATTGTCGGGTACGGACCCCAACCAGGACGGAATGCCAGTAGTCGGTGTATGATCAGCATTGATGGCGTCTCTGGTTAGACCAGCCCAGAACAGCACCAAGGCGTGTCGCTGGTTGGTTGGGCCGCAGCAGTCTGTATCTCCGAGAACCCTCATCCGCGATATTGGGCTACCACTCCGACAGGCGAGAGAGCCATAGTAAGCCACTTCGGTGTGGAATTGGGCCCGGGGGCATTCGAAGGAGTCCAGTAGCATACTCAGCCTCCGGACCGATATAACGAACATCGTCCGCAATGCTGTCACTAGTACCAGCGCGGCAACGAAATGGAGTACCTGGTGTCGCGACGCGCCTCCCGAGGAGAGACACGGTTAGTCTACCCTTCATTGGCTGTCTCGGTGTGAGTGACTTAGGACATTGGCCGATATGGGCTTAGCTCTCTTGGCCAATTAGTTGTGAACAGGCCATGGTCGTATATCGATGACGACCAGAGAAGATCGTATATAACGTGTCGCGAAATATGGAAATCAACGCGTGGCGGAACTTCGCAGAGAAAAGACACACAGAAGGCCGTAACGATAAGCAGTACTCCGGATTCCTGGCTTCCATCTTTAGGTTGCCATAGTTGGTGGGATCTGGGTAAGGTTTCGAACGCGAAAGCACGAGACGTCACACTTCCCACAAAGCGAAAGCGATGAACTGTACCGAGTACCTTCACCCCAAGAGCCAGGCAATGCAGTCGGACTCATTGCACAAGCAAAGAGACCACACTGTCCGTCGAACTTGCTGACATACTCGTTGTCAGGGTTACCTTCAGGGAGAGCACCAGTTGCATTTGTCTGGATCCCCAGGGGCAGCGAATCGGGATGGTAGTCGCCACGCCTCCCCCCAAGCGAGATGGGCTGCGTGAAACAGCACGACGGTCTGATGATCCACGATTTCGTCGCTCGCCAAGTAGCATTTGTCTTCCATTCCCTCTTCATAGAAGGTTGTTGAAGTTGGTATCATCTTCACGATGACCCACACGCAACAGCAGCGGAACGCAATCACGCGCCACGAGATGCCAATCGTACTGATTGAGCCAAGCCTCGCCGGGGACAACAACGCCAGAGAGGCCATGGTACTGGGTGGTAACGCAGCCAGGACCTACGTGCCATCCTTCGGCACACTCTTCTGAGGGTCAACGTCATACTTGACGTGACCATGTACCCAGCCTAGATCGAGCCAAAGCCGGCGCAGCACTCGTCTGTCCCGGGTGTAGCTTTCCTCGAATTGGCCTTCCACGCGAGGCGCAGTCACCAGTCCGTGGAGTGGTGCAAAAGCTTCAAAGGCCCGTATTATTGGCCAAATCGTGATCGACCTCTTGTTCACCGACGTCTTCGCCGGTGTCAGCTTGAACGACTTTGGAGTCTGCTCCCTTGTCGTAAATTTCGACTGATCCGACAGAGCCGAGGGCGAAAGCCAGCACAACATTGCCTTGCCAGGTTTTCGCCGTCGGCTGCGCTCAATGTCGCTGAGGTACGGGCCCGGGGCTGATTGACACGAACACCACCGTCTTGTGGTAATCGGACTGGTCAAGCAGTCCCAGCTCGGTTTCCCCGTTGAACAGGAGGTCGAGGGGCATGAGTGAGTAGACTGACCGGTGACGAACGAGATACGCATAGGTCCGCACGACGAGTGCGTGAAGCAGCGAGTAAGTGGGACGAAAGTAAGAGACGATGGTGACAAGTAACCCGGAAGCTCTTACACAGGCGAGCTTTTAGATGTAAGCCGAGGTCGTGTAGCATTGAACGTAGTTTCCACTGAGGCTACCGAAGTATACAGGGAGAGCAATTTGGGAGCAGGGGCTTGCTTGGTGAGCGAGTCGAGAGTCGGACACCGTCTTGTAGCTTTCCTCAACAGACTCGACTGAACTGAATGCTAAAGCCGGCGAAAGACGTAGGATTCATGCGACTTGCGTCTCTCGGCCTTCGCGGCCTCTTCCTAACGCTCCTGGCATTCCATGCCTTTCGCGAAGGAACGCCTTTCCCTAGCCAGCTTCCCGCTGCCTGCTACAGCTCAACATCACCGAGGCATGGGCTCGGAGCTGAAAGAGAGCAATCACGCGCCGTTATCGCGGGATGGCTCGAGGAGTCAAAGCTGAATGCGATAGCCAGGCCCTGGAAGTCCCAAGACACGAACGGCCAGGACACCGATGACACTGGATGCCGCGCGCAGTCTTCTGCGCGTGGACAGTGACGCATATTGCACACAGTGATACGACCGCGATCGAGCGCAGTAGCTGCGTTCGAAGGACCCCACGGGGTTGGGAGCAGAAGCTAGAACACCGCGGTGATCTGGCTCTGTGACTTCACATCACAGAGGCATGGGCCCGGGGTTTTAATAAAGAAAACATGCGCTATGGCATTGGAACCTGCCAGGTTGAGCAACCAGTCGCAACTGAAATGCCTCAGCAAGCCCTGGGAGCTCCAGGGGGTGAGTAGGAAGAGCAGTAATGGCTCTGTATGCCGCATCTGCGGGTTGACAGTCAGGCATGTGCGACGCGACCATGAGCGGATCCATCCATGCCCTCGTTTGAGATCGAGCCGCCGCGAGGTGGACACCGGGATGTAGTGTCGGCCTTATCGTAGACTTGGTTGAGCCGACGGAGGGAGCCAGCACAATACTGCTCAGCAAGTTCTCACTGTCGGCACCAGTGCATGCTCCCAGCGGGAAGGGCCCCGGGACTGTAAGGGGGCAAACACCCGCCATGGCATTATTGTTGGCATCGTTGAGCGAGTCTCAACTCAATTGATCCCGCATCGTCAATCGCGGGGCTGAGGCGACTCCTTAGATACCAGCCCCAGAGCAACCCGCCATTGCCCGCACATGTTTTCAATGGCCCTTATTCTCGCCACCATCGCCTTCTGAGTTGAGCCCGGCGTGGGCCAGAAAGGCGTAGAGGACCTTCACACTCTGGCTGCCGCTCCCCGGGCTGCAGATGGAAGTTCCGAGAGGGTCAAAGGCAGAGCGCTCTTGTCTCGCGATGCCCGGCGCAGTCTTCTGCGCGTCGACGATGAGGCATCTCTATCACAATCATGTTTACGGCCTCATCCGGCCGCAGCTGGCGGAAAGAGCTGGAAACCGTCGCCCTGGCAAGGACGGCCAGCGGCCAACGAAGTCGACGAAGCCGGGGGAAGAAGCCAGAACACTACCACAACAGGTACGTGCTGCGGCTCGACATCACTGGGCCTTGGGTCCGGGGTTGGAAAGATACGTAAATAAGTAGACATCAACCGTCATGTGGGTGATACAGACACAACGTGCACATCCGAATGGACGAAGTAATGGAAAGATGATATCAAGGCATGTTGGGTATAGGTATAGTGACAAGGACTGACTACTGCCATCAAAGGATGTATGTGGATGTGTATACTTTTGCGCAAATGGATTGCTAGGATCAAAAAAGGTTGGAATGGTGGAATTGGTAAAGAGGTCATAGCTTGGCATCATCCGGCGTCTTCTTCTCTTCCGCTTCTGAAGCCTTTGGCGGCGCCGCCTCCGCCGTCTTGTCTGTTGTTGTGTGTACGTCCTGCGTCTCCTTGGATGATGTGGATGGGGTGTCAGCGGGTGTGGACTCCGATGTGGTAGCCGGCTCTGAAGATGTCGTGGGCTCGTAGCGCGCTGGGCCGGAGGTAAGTGCCTCATCCGCGGCGGTGTCCTTCTTGGCGGCAACGGGCGCGTTAGGGTCAAAGACGACGGCAACCTCGTCGAGGGGTGTCGCGGCACCCTGCGCGGCAAGCTGGATCTTCTTCTTGGCCTCGGCGCGGAAGTCGGTGGCTTCCTGCGGTGCGCCCTCGGAGCCAGAGACGGTATGCCCCTCGCGACCGCGGTCGTCCTTGATGTCAGTGCCGACCTCCGCCTCGAGCGCCTTGGTGACACGCGAGACGGTACCCTTGGGGATGGTCTGCTGCGCATCCTCCGTGTCGCTGCCACCGTCCTGCCGCAAGGAGGCGCCGACGACATCGGGCTCCTCTTTGTCGTCGTCGAGCTTGAGTGCAGAGCCGACGTTCTCGGTGACCTTGCGGATCTCCTCCTCGAGGTCCTCGTCACCGTCAGCGGCAGCAGAAGCAAGCTGCCTCTCGGCCTCCTTCTCGCCAACGATGCCGCGCCACATGTCCTCGAGCTCGTCGCGCCAGCCAAGGAGAGAAGCAAGCTTGCGCACGCCAGCATCGCACGTGCCCAGCTCAACGACATCATCCGCACGGCGACCCATCTGGCCCACGCGCTCCCTGTTGAGCAGCAGCCTCGGCACACCCGACCGCGACGCCTCAGCGAGGCCGGCGAAAGGGTAGACAGACAGACTGGTGCCCATGACGACAATGAGGTCTGCCATGGCGGGGAGATGTGTGTTGTTACGGAAGGCCTCGGGGAGGGCCTCGCCGAAGAAGACGATGTCGGGCTTGACGAGGCCGTCGCAAGTACCGCAGCGGGGCACGATCTCGGCCTGGACGTGCTGGAGCATCTTGTCGTCGGGGAAGGGGGTGGCGCACTCGATGCAGCGCTGGGTGGCGAAGGAGCCATGGGCCTCGATGATCTTGTCGTCCGGGACGCCGGCGCGGCGCTCGAGGCAGTCGATGTTCTGGGTGAAGTTCATCTGGAGGAGGCTCTTCTTGGCGAGGAGGGCGATGAAGACGTGCGAGACGGTCGGGAAGAACTTGCCCGGGTAGAGCTCCTTGGCGAGGTAGTAGAAGGGTTCGGGGTGTTTGCGGAAGTAGCTGATGTCGAAGACGGCTTCGGCGTAGGGGAGGTTGAGGCGGGCGAGGTTGGCATAGAGGCCGGTGCCGGGGGATCTGAAGTCGGGGACTGGAGGGGTGGCATGTTAGCTGTGGTCTGGAAAGCGAGAGTGCGTTGGCGCAAGGAGGGTAGTGGGAGGAACATACTGCCTGCGGCGGTCGAGATGCCCGCGCCGGTCATGACGGCGATGCGCTTCACCTCGCCGGACTTGATGTAGTCGGCAATGGCGCCCAGAGACCTCGACTCGAGGGTCTTGGGGTGGACGCTGTCGTCCAGCATGGTGGATTCTTCATTGCCCATCTTGTTGCGCGGCCGGTTGGAGTTGGGCCGGCCCTTGGGGTGTTTGTCGCGGCGTCGGCGGCCTATGGTGGGCGATGGTGGCGGGGTGGTAGTGGGGGAAAGAAAAGAAGACCAAAAAAGTCTGCAGGCGTGGGGGCTGGTCGCAGCGTGATGGGATGTTCGTATCGATGATCAGCGGTGATTGAGAAGCGTCGTCGCCGGCTTTTGGGCTCGTGGAAGGTTGTTGGTGCCTGGGAGGATGAGAGGCGACAGTTGTATGTCGATATTGATGATGGTAAGAAGCGGTTCGGGTCGGTGGTGGCTGCCTCGCCGGCCGGATGGCTCATCGCTCAAAAAAGTCCGATGGCTCGTTTCGGTGTTACATCATGCGGCAACCCCACCCCCGCCATCCTGGAGCTCTTATCGCACGGTGACCCTTATCGCTACTTGCGCGGACGGACCAACGGGCGTGAGCGGGAATAAGCAAGCGAGTTGGGGGCGATGTGAAGGATGATCTAAGGAAAAGGGTCAGTGAGTGGTCATCATGGAGGGGGAGAGAGGGTCTGACCAACAACTTCTGTCGTCAGGACATGGGCAAAATCATATGTCCAACACCATGGAATCGGTGATGAAAGACGAAGACGGCGATGAGAGAAGAAGAAACCAAGCCACGTAAATGGGCAACGCGGTCCATGGACTGAGCAAAGGGGTCAGCGAGTGCTCATCACAGAGTGCAGGCAAGAGAGGAACTTTACAGTGACTGCTGTCGGCAGCTTCGTACAATTGAGGGCGGAGGATGAAAACGCACCGGTCGCAGGTAGAAGACAAAGCGAGAGCGAGTGGCAGAGAGATGAGACGAAACTGGGCCGATGGGCTAAGGAAAGAAGTTAGCAAGTGCTAGCCACAGAATACGGGACACCAGAGAAACTGACCAAATGCTGCCACCAGCAGCGCTTTGCAGAGGGCAAAGAGGGAGGACCAGACAGTAACCACTGAGTGGTACCAAAAAGAATAGGGTGACGAAGAGTGACGGCAGGAGAAGAGAGTTTGGGCCAGACAGAGGAGACAGGAGTTGCGCTGTTCTGGCTGTGTTGCTGTGAGGTTGGTGGGCTGTGGAAAGTAGTCAGCTATAGCTCATGACAATGGGGAAGAGAAAGTCTAACCCAACACTTATCGTCGCAGATGAAAGAAGTGGGAAACAGGATGGGAGAGGTGAGAAGAAACTTGGTCGGTATGCTGAGGAAAGAAGTCAGCAAGCGCTCACCACAGACGATGCAGAGGGAATCTGACCATATACTGCCATCAGCAGCGTGTTCAGCGAAGGGAGGAGAGGAGCAGAAGAGCAGGTGGACGACCACAACTTAACGGTCTGAGATGGAACACGGAGAGAGAAAAAGATGAGAGAAGGAGAAAGTCAGGGACAACTGTTCGATGGGGGTTTTACACATGAGGCAGATGGCTCTCTCCTCCGGTCATCTTCTGGCTTGTCAGGGGCTGGTAACAACCGCCTCATCGCGGGCATTTGCATGCAAAATACGAAGACAATCTGATTTCTCATAGTCCGTGTGTCCTGGACGCGATTGCACTTCAGCTTGCAGACACAGGATGACTCTGGCTTCCAATCAAGCATACCCAAATCAGGACATCATGGGCCATCGCCCTCACCGACGGATAGCCGTCTGAGACCAAGCAGCCAGCACCCGCACCATCTCCACATATCACAAAACAAAACATCTAGATTCTGCATCTGTAGCCTAATTACCGCGCCACGCCATGCATGAAACCAAACCCAATCCCAACCTCTCAAAGCAATTTATCCCCCGGCAAATGGTACCCAAACACCAGCACCGTCCCGCACACAGCCATCACCGTGGCCGCCATATACGGCAACCCGACCCACGCCCCTCCAATCCTCGTCCCCGCGCGCAGCAGCGCGGAAATCACCGGCGCCGAGACCAGCGTGCTGAGCTGCTCGACCCAGCCGATGGCCGTGTTGAGCGTGCCGATGGTGTGCGGCTCGACGACGGCGTTGAGCACCGCGCGGCAGATGTTGGTGTACGTCGCGCCCATGCTGAAGATGACGAGCGCCGCGATCAGGAACCACGGCTTGTACGCGACCGCGACCATGAAGCAGCCAAGGCTGAGGAAGATGCCCGTCATGCGCACGAGCCAGAGGTCGCGGATGAGCGGGTGCAGCGCCGTGCGCTTGGTGATGTACCAGCTGAGGAAGGGGAGCACGGCGAGGAGCATGGTCATGTTTGTGATTGTAGAGACGGTGCCGAGCAGGGTTGCCTGTGTGTTGCCGTTAGTGGCCGGGATGGCATTCCGGAGGGAAGGCATTTTGCTTACCTTTGCCCAGGACCATCCAAACAGGTTGTGCACGTACTGCGACGTGATTTCCACCTTGATGTACTTGATAATTACAGTGAGGTTGAAGCCCAGCACCAGCGGGAGGATTCGCTTGGACTTGATGAGGAAGTTGTAGACGTGGTTCATGTCGTTCTTCATCGAGTAGACAATCTGCTCCCGCAGCGTGCGCTTGGCGCTCTCGGCGCCGTCCGCCTCCTCCGCCCGGTGGAGCGTTTGCTCGACCTCCACATCGGCAGCCCGCCGGAACTCGGACGTCTCCGGGATGAAGGGCGGCAGGCAGGCGCCAAACGTGAGCAGCGCCTGGCCGAGACAGAGCGGGAGCCAGGGGGACTTGGTGAGCAGGGCGGCGCTGATTGGGGCGACGACGAGCTCGCCTGTCAGGGCTATTGTGCCGACCTTGTAGTACACGGATGTCCTGGCGGGGTATTAGATGGCTGGAAATCAACACTCGTTTGCGGCACTTACAAGTTGGAGATTGGGACAACGTCAGAAATCATGGTCCACACCATGGCCTGGACTATGGCAGCGCCGCCGCCGATGAACTGGAAAACTGCGCCAAACCAGACCGTCCAGAGAGGCAGCACGTTGGGCCACAGCACTGTCTCGCTTTAGCAAACGAAGCAAACGATACGTCTCGGGTAGTGCACTCACGCGGCTGCAGCATCCACATAAACTCCAGGCACAGACCAAACATGGCCAACGTCAAGACGGGTCGACGGCCGTACTTATCCGCAATGATGCCGTACGGGATGGACGTAATGAGCGCTGGACCACGTCAGAGGCCGTATTCTTCACACATGCAGCACGGCACAGGACAACTCACGCGGGATACAGTCAAACGAGTTCAACCAGCCCTTCACCATGGCCAGCTCGCCCGCCACCTCGGGCCCCTTGCACACATCGTCCGCTGCGTCCGTCGCGATGTGGCCGGGAAAGCGCTTCTCGCAGATGATCTGCTCCATAATCTGGTACGTCGGCGGGACCTGCAGCAGCGCGCCGACCTCGACAATCACGATGAAAATCATGGAAATCGCAATAACCTTGAACTGGTATGCGCGGCTGGGCGCGACCGTCGCGGGGAGGTCGTGCGCCAGCAGCGGCGTCTCCTCCTCTGGCCGGCGCTCCACGTCGCGATCGAGGGTTTTGTTCGTCATGTTTGCGCCTGTTTCTGTAGTTCTCTGCTCGCAAAGGCGAGGTGGGCCAAAAACAAGCAGCTCAAATGCTGAAAAGCCAGCCCAGTGGAGGAAAACCAACACCCAAAACTATTAAACCAAACGAAGTCGAAATAATCAGAAAGGCAGGATAGAGAGTCGGGTATGGTGGTGAGACTCTTCCTAAAGCAGTAATGCAAACCGCTTGTCGCCAAAAGTTCCGACACAGGCTAGGACTGCACCACGTATGTGAGAGGGAGTGAGAGAAATGGCACAGCAGCTGGCGTGGCGATTCCTGCGTCCCAGAGAGGAAGCTCATTAAAATAAGGGACCCAACCAACAGCAGCAGAGCCGTTTGCGATTGTCGCATGCGCTGCGGATGCAGCAGATACAGACCCCGGCCGTTAGGGGTCCAACAGGATGTCAAGACCACTTCGCGGCCGGCACACCCCTGCCGCGAGGGAAAGGCTCCTCCCCTGTGGCCGGCTAGCCAGCGGTTGCGAGTCAGCCCAGCATCTCCGATGTGCTGTTGCCGCTGCTCTCGCGAAATCTGGGAGGGCCGCACGCAATCGCGAGTGCAGCTGATAGCGGATTCCGATGTTGTCGTTGGCCTGCTGGCGGGAGAAGTAGCGGTGCTCCCTGCATCTCTCAACCGCAGCGATGGGCCGTTGCGGTTTTGGGTCGGAGTTGTCAGCGAGAGCCGAAAAAAAAAAAAACTCCCGGGCAGCTGGGACGCGCCAATCGACCGCATCGCAGGTTGCTTCGCCCCAATCAACGGCCAACACCGTGGCACAGGAGCACACCCGCCGCAACCAAGGCTCCTCGTCATCGCCCGTCGTACAACCAACTCAGATGCATCGCCAGCACCTCGCGAACCCACAACAAAACATCCAAGATGACCAACTTTTTTCTCGTTTCTTCTGCCTCTCGTGACTCGGCGCGTCGCACCATCTCCTCTTCATTCTTGCACTTCGGAACTCTGTTCCTGCAGAAGCCTGGAAGGCTCATTCTGGAAGGCTCCGGCTGAGGGCTGTGGGTGTGCTGGCCGGCTGTCATGTCCATGCCGCCTGAAGGTCAAGTTCGTCCCATCGTCCCAACTATCAGACGTCCGGAGGAGGGCCAGCAGCGATCGGCAGCGTGGTGTGATCTGCCACTGACAGTGCTGAACGGCGCAGCCTGTGCCCTCCATCCCCTCTCAGCACGATTGTTGCCCGTCTCTTTTTGCCGGCGGGCAGCCGAGTCTGCCAGGGATCCCTTCCACCTCGTCAGCCTTGAGACGAAAAAGCCCCAAAGCTTAAACCCGACTGACGCGGCAGCGGTGCAATCTAATGCGATGTCGTAAATAACACAACCCACCCAGAATAATCTCGGACCGAGCTGCTTCGAGCTTGTGTATGCGCGGGTGGGGATTTCGAGTGATTGCACATACAGATCCTCGGAGAAATAGCGACGTCGTTGATAAAGGTCACTGACTCGATTGCCGACCGGTGTGTGTTGTCTTCGTGGGGTTCTGGCGTCGATCCGCTCTGATGTAGGCCGTACAGCCGGTGGAATTTCGAGATCCTTGGCAGGTGGGAGTTGGCGGTATCAGGTCGCCGGCGGGTCTGGCGGAGGTTGGATGAAGAGGGGATTCGGTGCCGTCGGCAACCTGCCTGCCACACATTGACAGTCCGCCTTCCATCCATCACGATCCAGCTTGCATTATCGCATGCTGTGTCTCGCCAGATGTCGTTGAACGGCACAGATTTCTCAAAGTAGAAAATCTACTAAGAAAGGAAAGTCAACTCATCATACATCAGACTGCAAGATGCCCCTAAGTAAAGAAAGGAGATAGTCTGCAGACGTTACTTTCTGCCAACGTCCGCGATAAGAAGCATAAAGTGTAAAATCATATTCAGACCTTTCCTTCTGAGGGCATCCCCCAAAGTCTCCCTCCCTCCCAGAGTCCCACTGAGCTTGTGTCGGCACTAAGAATGGCTGACTCAGCCTATGGACCGCGGGGTCGTCCCCGCCAATTCCAGCGTCAGTGAAGCGAAGCCAAGCTACCCCGCCAAAGCTCCGTCTCCGACTCCGTACCTTCACGTCACCCTCCAACACCGCGACACACGATACCGAACCCGATATCGCCCAGCATGTCCGGCAAAACCAAGGTGACCGCCACGGGGCCTCTGGTACGTCATATATCCTTCGGGCAATTGTTCCCACGCTCTCCCGCATCTGTCCTTCCACAGGTAGCTAACCAAAGCCCCAAACCGACAGCCCGACGCAGAAGCCCGCTGGATCAAGCTCTCCAAGATCAACTACACCGACCAGAACGGCACCCCGCGCACCTGGGAGTCCGCCGAGCGCCGCACCCGCCCCAAGTCCGGCGACATCGACGGCGTCGGCATCGTCGCCATCCTCGAGAAGCCCTCCGGCCCCGAGATCATCCTGCAGAAGCAGTACCGCCCGCCCATCGACCAGATCTGCATCGAGGTCCCCGCGGGCTTGGTTGACGAGGGGGAGACTGCCGAGCAGGCTGCGGTCAGAGAGCTCAAGGAGGAGACTGGGTACGTTGGCGTCGCGTCGGAGACGACGCCCATCATGTTCAACGGTATGCTACTTTCTATTGTCTATTGTTTGCTGGTTGATGCTGATTACGAGTGCTTCAGACCCCGGCTTCTGCAACACGAACCTCCGCATGATCCACGTCACGATCGACACCTCCCTCCCCGAGAACCAGAACCCCGTCCCCCAGCTGGAGGAGAGCGAGTTCATCGAGGTCTTCACCGTGCCCCTAACCGACTTCTGGTCCGAATGCGTCCGCCTGGAGAAGGAAGGCTATGCCATCGACGCTCGCGTGGGCACCATCGCAGAGGGCATCGAGCTAGCCAAGAAATTCAAGCTATAAACGCCCTCTCCTTATTTCGCTGTCTCGGATACTTCTTGTGATGTCGTGACCTGAGGCCCGTGAGAATCACACCTTGCCTTCCCTCCTCAGTCCCTCCCACAACGCCACCGCAGCAAGACACTTCGCATCCCTCGCCCCCTCCCTCCAAAGCTCCCCCATCGGCACAATCTTCAACGTAATCTTCTCCCCCTCCTCCCTCAACCCCGTCAACTTCCCGCTCCACTCCTTCAGCTGCCCCCTCGGCACCCGCCTCTCATGACTATAAATCGTAATAAACTCATCACACCCGCCCGCCGACGGAAACATCGCCTCCGCAAGCCCCTCCTCCTCCCCCTCCGTTGCCCTCCCCGCGCCCGCCAGCTCGCTCAGACACGTCAGCTCGTCCTCGTGGATCTCAATCCCGCACTCCTCCTTCAGCTCCTTCGCCGCCGCGCCCGCGAAGCTGCCGCTGTCGTCGACCATGCCCGCCGGCAGCTCCACGAACGACAGGCTGCCTGCCGGCACGCGCGGCTGCATGGTCAGCACGGCGTAGCGCTCGTCCGGGGCGTCGTCGGGGACGAGCATGAGTAGCATCGCGACGCTGGGCCCGCGCAGGAAGACGCTTGCGGGGAGGGTCTCGCCGGCGGCGTTGGAGACGTCGGCGGTGAGCTTGAGGAAGCCGATAGGCGAGGAGCCGAAGATGTCGTAGGTTTGGACGGTGATGCTGCGCAGGGCGTAGGGGTTGGCGTGGAAGGGGTGGGTGGCGGTTTTGGATTGGAGGGTGAGGGAGGTTGTGAGGCGGGAGAGCCAGTTCTGCGGTGTTTGTTAGAATGTGCTGCTGATGAACGAATTAGAAAGTGGAGATGAGCTCACGTTGAAGGGTCGGAAGGAGAGAAGCTGGGATTCGGAGAGGCCTTCCGGCAGCTTGACCTGGATGCCGTGATCTTTGAGGGTGATTGTCGACATTGTTCTGACGAGTCGGGAGTGAACCTGGTTGACGCGTTGAGAAAATGTGGCTGGTCTCAGAATATTCCTGGGTGAAGGAATGAAGTTATGTGGAAAGCGTTTTAAAGCAGGCGCGAACGTGCTCATACTGCCTCGCAATTGACCTTATTGAGTTGCACAGGTGTTGTCGAATGTAAGTGTAAGTGAATGAAAGGCTGACTGACGTCAGACTTGAAGTGTTGGTTTAGTGGGGTCTTTCTGCCGATGGCGTTGCGCCAAAGGAAGGTACGAAAAAATGTAAAAAATGCAGGATGATAGTTCGCCGCGGTACATATCATAAAACAGATTGATATGTGTGTGTATTACGATTCGTAGAACCTTTCATTCATCAGTTGTGCTTTTCCTGCCTGCCTTATGCTGTTTATGCTATGCAAATGCGAACCGCCCTCACCCCTTCCTCCAACTCCCTTCCTACACTCGCGATGATGATGTAACAAAAGGAAAAGAATCATTTCCCACACACCGCAACCACCCGTAATCGGCTTCAAACCTATTCCCAGAGGTAATTTGAACCTCGTAGATCACTTCGGTAAAAAGCAAAATTGCAAAAAAGACAAAAAAGTTCGGAATTGAACTGGGCGTCCCCAGTTCATTCCTATGAAAAACAGCCGAACTGTTTTTGCGCCGAGGGTACGTGTTCGGCCACCCACGCCCGTCGTCAACTGCGTGCTAGTCTCTGGGGTTGCGGATGAGAGTGATTCACTGCTAGATAAAGCCTTCTGCGGGTCGGATGGGATGAAAGGGTCGACGGGTGGCCGGAGAGGTGGTCGACTTCAAGGTGCGCGCGAGTCTTGTTGTCCAAAGGTGAGGACCCACCCAATCAGCCCAAGAAGTTCTTCAGATTTCCGCCGATGTTCTTGAGGTCCAAGAGGAATGTATCGTGACCGAAGAAGCTCATCTCCTCGCTCAGCTCGATGTGTGCCACGTTTCGGTTACCCGCCAGCTTGAGGGCCTGCGCAACTTCCCTCTGCTGCCACGCGGGGAAGAGGATGTCGCTGGCAACGCCGATGACGAGGGCTGGGGTGTCCCTCAGAGGAGAGAGACCAGCGATCAGGTCCTCGGGAGGTCTCGACGACACTTCGACGGGCTGATCTGATGCACCGGCGTTCGACTCCGGTTGTTCCTCGTAAGGCTTCTCGGGAAGTGTCAGACTGCAAGCAGCATCGTTCCTCGTGGGCTCGACACCAGACTGCAGCAGCTTCTCACGCTCCGCTCTCCTTGCGCTGGCAGCCACCTGGTTCTCACGTCCGAGGTCGAAGAGATCCATAGCCTTACTGACGTACAGCAAGCTGTTAGGATCGTAGGTCAGGCAGAATTTCTCGCCGGCATGATCAAGATACGTCTCGATCAAGAAGTCTGGGCACAGCGCTGGTGGCTTGCTGGGATCTGCCCTCCTCCTTCCGAAGCGCTGCTCCCACTCTGGTCCCGAGCGATATGTAACCGTCGCGATCTCTCGCGCCAGCTTCATACCAGCGTGGGGCGGCACTCTGCCGTAGTAGAAGCCTCTGTTCCAGTTCGGGTCCATCATCAACACCTGTCGCTGCGTGTGGCGCATCGCAATGCTGTACGGGTGACTCCTCGCGCAACCGCTGATGGACACAATCCTGCCTACGCGGTTGGGGAAGAGTGTCCCAGCAGCAAGCGACTGCATCCCACCCATACTAGAGCCAACGCTGGCATATAGCTTCTCTACGCCGAGGCCATCCAGCAACCTGAATTGCGCGCGCACCATGTCCTCCATTGTCAAGATCGGGAACCGTGTCGCATATCGCTGGCCGTCCGCAGGATCAATGCTACTCGGTCCTGTCGAGCCATAACATCCTCCAATTACGTTTGTGCAGATTACGTGGTATTTATCCGTATCCAGCGCAAGCCCTGGGCCGATGAACTTCTCCCACCAGCCAGGCTTCGGGTTGCTCTCCGTAGAATGCGCATGCGACGACGCAGACAGACCGGTGTGGAGGAGGATTACATTCGACTTGTCCGCATTCATTTTACCCCACGACTCGTACGCGATATCGAATTCAGGCAGGACACCGCCCCAGTCGAGGAGGAGGGGCTCTTCACAGTGATACGTCTCCGTCGCGCCGGCCGTGTACGAAGGCTCGTTGCTCGACTCGAACTTCGCTTCTAGTGTCGCGGACCGGTTCTCGAGGGCGTCGAGGCACGGGAACGCCATCGCCGGGTTCGAGGCATCGCCGGGGCTGTTGGACGCTTTGCGCGCCGGCTTGGAGTGGAATCGGCGCGTGGGTTGTTGGGAGCTGAGAGCTGCGGCAGAGCTCCGAATTGCGGCGGGGGTGCTGGTGCGGGGAATTGGGGCGCGAGCCTGGCGCAGGGCCGCTGAGGCGAGTCTTTGGCACTTCATGGCGACAATTGTGACGGGATTGAAGCTATGGAAAGGCTCGAGAGAGGGTCATGGGCCCTTAGCAAAGATATAGCGGCGTTTCTTGGTGTTTCCCGCGGCCGGGTTTGTAAGCTGGAGTTGCTTAGAGCTCCATTGTCGGCGGCGACGATGGTGCAATCTCACGTGACGATAAGCGATAAGCGTCGCGATGAGGGGCAGTTTGACTTTCTTTCCAGCGGCGTTTTCTCAAGGTTTCTAACGAAGACTGTCAGTACAGAAAGACATGTCTCAGCCAGCCACCCGACGCCAGTAGCTTTTCCTCGGTGACCGGTGACGTCGTGTGGTAAGTTCTCTCCATAGGTAAGCAGATCTGACGATGTTGGTGATGTACGCGTGGCCGTTGCTCCATAGGCTCCGTTGTAGGTATGCTTCGGAATGGAAGACCAGTCAGCTACTGCTCGGTAGAAACAATAGCCACGATACTTCAATGTCCAAATCACAATGACTTTCACCATGTGAAGTTGTAGCATGTGCTTGTCGCAGGTTCCAGACCGCAGCTTCCCCGCTGTGAATCCCCACGCCGCACTGACGTCAATTTAACCTTCCCGTTTAGCTAGTGGCACCAGTGCTCTAGCGGCCTCCCATCGACCCTGAAAGTGGCCAGCACAGTGATGAACTGACGTCGCCTCCGTCACACGTCAACCGACGCGTACGCTACTCTGGACCGTTACCTACATTCACTACCCCTCCATCCGCTCCTCAAAAGCACCTCTAGTGACATACATACCCATGTCGAACTTCTTCTCGACTTTACAACAATACGCCAGACCTCTCGCGACAGTTGCAGCAGGTGCGTTCCTCGCTAGAGCCATGGCGTTCCCCGACAACAACGGCCCCGACGGCCAATCTTCAACCCAACAAGTTCCCGGCGAATACAAACCTACGTTGGCCGATGTCCTCGTTGTTAGAGTCATGCTGGAGAAAGCTGCCAAGTTTCCGCCCGAGCTCCTCGACCTCATCTTCGACCAAGCCGAGTACTGGCCGCACTCCGAGGCCTCCATGGCATGGCAAGTCAACGTGCCCCGCGGTGGCGCCGGAATCGTCGGCGGAGACCCCAATGGCGAGAACAAGCTCCTTCTTAGATGTCCCCCGATCGGATTTACCGACTACCGCAAGGTCGGGGAGGCATTCAAGACGGCCCCGCTCCCGCCCAAAGATGTTGACGGCTCGGCCGTGGAAGGGCCTCTGCAGAACTTGACTCTCATGGAGCCGAAGTCGAGTCCGACACTGCCTACGCGCGAAGCACCGAGGGAATACTTCGAAGGGTCCATGACGCAGCCGCCCGCGCTGACCCACCCGGTTCGAAAGATTGTGTTCAAGTTGCGGAGCAAGGACCAAGGTTGGGGTGGCAGCCACGAAGATAAGGGCACGTACAGGGGATCGTGGACTTGGTTTGAGGCGGGATTGGAGAAGTTCGACGAGGGGCGCAAGTGTAGGTTATTCCTGTTGCCCAAAAAGATGACAGCACACTGACATTTTGGATACAGGCGACGGTTCTTGCAAACGATCATCACCGAGCCCAACCCCCGAACCCGAGGCGTCGGAGAGCAGCAATACACCTGGTGGTGGGGCTTCGAACTTCTGCACCTGCGGTCTCCAATCCGTGTATCCCCCCGTTGTTTCCACTTCTTCAATGACGGCCTACCATCACCACATGCACGCCCTGGATAACCTCAAGATCCAGGCCAATAAGACAGCGCATAGGGAGTTTGTGGACCATGAGGTGATCTGGTCATGGACGGACGATATCCACCCAGATTCGCCCGAGGGCGACCGTCTGGCGGAAATCGGTCGCGGGAAGGGTACGGGCACAGGCAACTTTGTCCGCAGCTTGAAGCTGGGCGATGTTGTCACCGTCTGGGGCAAGGCTCGGTTTGGTGGTTGGCGCAATAATGTTGAGAGTGTCAAGGTGGAGATTTACTGGGCGATTTGAGCGTCTTTCGCTTCCTTTGGACGGGGTCTTTTCCTGGAAACAATTAGTTAGTAGTGCTTATCTGGCATGGCGTTTTGGTAATGAGAAGAATCAGATATGACCGTACGCGCCACAAGACCACAACTAATACTTTCCGCACTACATTGAACGTGCTGAAACAGTTGTCTGCTGGGCATACTGCATCTGCTAGAATCGCAGAGGCGTGTAGGATATTGAGACAGTGTGCGACACACGGCAGACACATTACTAAAGTGCGTTGGTGGTGTGAGCCTATGGCGTGGCGCGAATTCACGCGTACCGTACCTTTTGGTCGGTCGGCTGTATGACGCAGCTCAGCTGATATGACCTAAGCCACAGGGTGGTTTTGAGCAGGCTGGTAAAAGCCTTTAACCCCTTACCCCGTCACCTCTCTGGTATCAACCGCAACCTTCGATTCATGCTCAAAGCCCATGGCCCCGCCGCTTTCGGATGGCGACTCTGCGCGATGCCCTCGTACAAGAGCTTTGCTGGCAGATTTCCGTCTGTCGGGGTACTAAGAAAGTGCAACTGGGAACAGAAACGGATGGCCGAGGCATAATCATCCTCCAGAATGAGGGCGAAGATTACATCCGACAGCTACAGGATCTACGAGGTTAGCTCTTTGTGGCGTCTCCTTTCTGTGCCGGAGGCTTACATTCGCACAGGCCACTTGCTATCTAACGACCTCTATCATGCGACTTCTCTCCTACGTTTTGAGAAGGATCTTCTATGGAAGGTCCTTACATTTTGTAAAGCGGACTTCCGTTTCATAGACCCTGTCTATGTCAAGGAACGACTGACGGCCTTTATCGATGTCGTCGAAAGGCGGGATTCGCTCCTAGGTTCCCAGCTCTACAACCAATTGTGGGCGCATCCATAGATTGTCGCCTGGTTGAAATCATCCCGGCCGCAGGTCACTCGTGTTGATATTGAGATGGATTTGCGCACACGAAGTTTTGCTCTCGAGCTCATAGGACATTTGGGTGCATCCCATCCAGTTCTTTACCTGCTGGATGGCCTACCGCCTTCAACCGCGCCAAACTCACGTCAACCTAAGCTGAACATCCGTGAGGCTTTCGAACAGCTCACTGGCCAGTGTCTTCGTCACATGCAGCCGCTGGATCCCACTGGATTTGTTCATGAAAATATCCAGTCATTCAAGCATGCTAGCTGCATAAACGATTGCATTTCCCTGTTTCAGCTGGTGTGTGCGAATTTGCGCAGAATATCCGTCGTACTTGACCGCAGCATACTTTCTTATGGTTGGGAAGAGGGCGTGGAAGATTGGGAGGAGAACCTTCAAACCGTGGCTTCGGAAATTTCCAACAGGCCAACAGCCACGCTACTTAAAGTTTTATTGATCGGACCCGAAAACGTTCCTCAGAAAACCTCATCTAGGAGACCCTTCGATTCGATAGAACCTCCATCTTACCATGGCGCCGAGGACGACATGGCTCCTATGCTTTCGGCTTATCTGTCTTCTGAGATTTTTCCAGACAGGTTGTTCAAATCCATTCGACATTCGCCTCCAAGCTACGAATTGACGAGGACGCCAGAAAGAGACACTAGTATCGACAGGGCAATCCCACAGACGGATGCAAGCAAACTAGACTCTTCATTCCCACCGTCATCGACACCTTCATGGCTTCCGAGGACTTCACCTGAAGTTCCAGAAGGCTCCGTCTCACGTCACACCATAGATGTTAGCAAAAGCCGGCATCATATCAAGATTGCCATCATATGCGCCTTGACTCTGGAAGCCGATGCCATCCATGCCCTCTTCGATGAGCACTGGCATGTTACAACCTCAATGCAAATGAGGTCACCTGGAGATACTAATTCCTACTCGTTTGGTGTCATATGCGGGCACCCTGTCGTGCTTGTGCACATGCCCGGTATGGGGAAAAGCAATGCTTCAAGTGTCGCGACCAACTGCCGAAGCAGTTTCCCCAATGTCAAACTCGCCTTAGTCGTCGGTGTTTGCGGGGCTGTCCCGTTCTATGGCGATAAGAAAGAGATTATACTCGGTGACATTATAATCAGCGAGGGTTTGGTGCCCTACGACTTCGGCAGAAGGTACGCTGACAAACTCATCCGGAAGGAAGTCCTAGCGAAGCCACCTCCCGAGATTAGGGGTCTCCTCAATAAAATTAAGGGATGGATGGGTCGGCCACGTCTGAAAGCAAGAATAGAAACGCATCTAAAGACCCTTCGCGAAGCTTTTGGAACAGGCGCAGCATATTTGGGTGCTTCTGAAGACTGCCTGTTTCAAGCGACATACGTTCACAAGCACAACGACCCTGGAACATGCGACGTATGCGTTATCTCGGACAATGTTTGCTCCGATGCTCGAGCTGCCACATGCAGTAGCCTTGGATGTGATCAAGAACGGCTCAGTTATCGAAGCCGACTTGATTTAATCAAGATTACATCAGCTACTTTCCCTCCTGAGGTCCATTTCGGTCAGATAGGCTGTGGCGATCAGGTTATGAAGTCAGGAGAGCATCGAGATCGCATTGCGAAGGATGATGATGTAATTGCTTTTGAGATGGAGGGAGCAGGCGTATGGGACAAGTTTCCGTGTGTTGTCATTAAAGGGGTATGCGATTACTCAGATAGCCACAAAACTAAAAAGTGGCAGATGTATGCAGCCTGCACAGCAGCTGCTTGTGCGAAAGCCTTCTTGCAAGAATGGTTTTTGTAAAGGGAAAGCAGTTATATTCGCATGCGTTTCACCTAATTACTGATGTACCGAAAAACCCGAAGAGCGCACTGTCTACTACACACCAACAGAGAAAAGAAAGAAAACGAAACCTCTCCGGTTCTTTTGTCCTAGATATCACCGTACTGAAGCCGAGTCCGAGCTAATCACAAACTTGCAGGACCCTCAGGAAGTGGGCCGACTAACGTCGCAGAACTGTCATGGAGTGCTGAGACTTCCAGTTGTTTTCTGAACGCAACTTTGCTTTGCCTTCGTGGCAAATATACCGCCTGATCCGACTTCACTGAC